ACACACACACCCCTTGAACCCCAGGGTAGGTTACACAACTAGCCTGTCCACAGCCTCACGTGCATCAGACTCCCTGCTGCCAGGGCTCAAAGCTGGGAATCAAAGGGGTTGCCAGAGGTCAGTGGCCAGTCCACTTCCCAGAGGTCAGGAGCACATTCTGACTGTATCCAGGCAGGATCACCAGCCACTGGTAACCTCAGGCCAGTGCCTCCAGCCCCACCTGTGGATCAATGCTCCCAGGCCAGGCTCTGTGTTTGGGGGATGGAGGTGACAAGACAGTTCCCACTCCAGGAGAACAGGAAAGATAGTGACCCCACAGTGGCAAGAAGGATCTGAGGCTCCCCCCTGCCCCCATACCATGTCCCTTCCAAGACCTAACAAACAAAACTCTCTAGGAAGAAGCCCAGCCAGAATGGTCCTTGGAGGCCAGGAAGGCAAAATGCCATCTCACAGACGTTGGGCAGGTTGGCAGAAGGCTGCCATGCTTGGCGGAGCAGAGGAAGCCCTTTGATGAGCTGGCCTGACCCAGCGGCTGCAGCAGTGAACTCCAATATACAACTGGGAGGATGGTGCAAGACCGGGTGCGGTTTCCTTCCATCGTGCATGGGTGGCTATCAATTAGGAAGCACCTACCAAGAAAGTTTTATTTTACAAGGGATGGGCTGGTCTGCCTGGGACTTCCCTGAGTCAGCCCTGCTGGTGTTCTATCGCCCAAGGGAGGGGCACAGAGTAGGAGGTAAAGAACTGCCCCTGGGGGCAAGTCAGGAGCAGACAACAGCGCCCAAGTCACATTCCAGGGACAGTTTAAGAGCCTGTCTCTGGCCCTGCGCTCAGGCATAGGAACAATTGTGAGGATGGTGCAGGACCTGTGTTGCTCTGCTGTGCATGGGGTCCCTGGATTGGAGCTGACTCAACAGCACTTACGGCGCTGCTCAGGAATCCCTGTGGCTGGGGAGCCATCTTCTGAATGTAGGGGTGCCAAACATTCCCTGTAAACAGCCAGAGAGCCCCTGTGAGGGGGTCTCCAAAAAGCTTATGGGAAAATTCTATGAACTTTCCAGTGAGTTTTTAATGAACCTTGGGGACTCCTAGTATCTTCAACCTTGAAAGGTCATTCGGTCTCTGCCACAGTGGCTCTGAGACTGCCCTGCCAGGCCACGGCAACCCTGGCCACTGGGAACAAATGGGCATGGCTGGGGTAGGGGTGGGGAGAGCGGGTGGACAGATTTTTTTTTTTTTTAAACCAGCAGTGAGATTTGGTTTTCATTTTGTTCTCCAGTGTTGCAAAATCTCCTTGTTTTTAATCCTTTCCAACCACTGGAAAATTTGAATGCCGGGCTTAGCTGGCCGGTCAGGTGGGGCCAGACCTGGCCATGGCCCTTCTCTGCAGACCCTGTCCTGGCTGTCGCAGAGCTGCCCACATGAATACAAGAAGCCCAGGCAGGCACTCCAGAGGGCCCAAGCTCTCCTAGCCTTGTCAAGGTTGAAGAAGCCCAGAAGCTGGACAAATCTCCACCGATCACCAGGGGCCCCAGCCTGGCGTTTGGCTGACCACCAGTGGTGTGTGCAGCTTGGGCACAGGGAGGGCGAGGGCATGGGGTTGTTGGCTTACTCCATTTCTTTCTGTGCAGCCTCCGCATGGCTCAGGTCCTCCTCCACGCCGTAGTCCAAGATGGAGCCCACCCCAAAGGCCTTGTTGTGTTGGATCAGGGGCCGGATGGACTCCTGGTCCTCACCAGCCACAAACTGCCCGTAGAATGTCATCTTCATGAGTCTGTCAAACAGCCTCTGGCCCAGCAGTCGTCTGGCCACATGGAGCAGCTGTAAGACAGAAACCATCACTGTCCTGGCCCCAGCCCTCCCCATGGAACCCACCACCTCCCCAGAGCACATGCCAACACTGGGCTTGTAGCCTTGTATTTCTGGGGAAGGACCAACTTTGGGCCCCACTCATAGCAGCTGGAACCACCTCCATGCGGTCTCCCACTCCCAACACCACCCGGGGCCCCTCAGTATGCCAGGGGTGCTCATTATTATTGCTGGCACAGGCTGATCAGGTCCCTCTCAGAGAAAGCTGTGGCCAGTCAATAAAGCATTTTGCTGCTAACTTTAAGGTTGGTGGTTCAATCCCACCAGCTGCTCAGAGGAAGAAAGATGAGGCAGTCTGCTCCCATGCAGATTTGCAGCCTCAGAACCCCCACGGAGCAGATGGACACTGTCCTATAGGGTCACTAGGAGTTGGAATGGACTTCCACAGCAGGGGTCTGGCTTGGGTTCTGAGTGCAAGCAGTGCCTGGGTCACTGTGCTCATAAAAGGTTGGTGGTTCTAGACTACCCAAAGCACCTTGGAACAAAGGCCTGGCAATCTACGGCCAGAATAAGCAGTCTTTGAGCCCCACAGTGAGGTTCAACTCTGATCGGGGCCTTTTTGTTTGTTTGTTTGTGTGGAAGCAGCCTGTCAGTTTCAGTTTTACTTCTTCTCCTTTATAATTGCTCGGATCGGTGTGTAGGTCCGAGGAGTAATGCATTTGAAGATTTTTTTTTAAGGGGCTGTGACCTCTCTCACTTTTCCTTTCTCTGTCGTTCTTTCCATATTATTCCCTTTCATTTGTGGAATGTAAATATACAAAGGAAAACAGGTTCTAGGTAGTTACACTGCTCATGTCATCAAAACAGTGACAGTTTCCTATTAAACCCCCATATATTGATTGAACTATTGCATTGTATGATATTCAGATTATGTCCCAATAAAATTGTTTATAAGACAGAAACAGGCAGAGAAAGAGATAATTTCTTTCTAACTTTATCATATTATTAAAGGACTACTGAACTGGTTTTTATAAAAACAAAAATAGTATATGTGGTTCTTTTTTTCCTTCTTTTCCTCCCCCTCCCCTTTTCTTACCTTCCCTAACTTCCTGTCCCTTCCTTCTCCCCTTTTCCCCCACCCTACCTCTGATCTTGGCCTTGTAGTTTTTAAAGTCTTGTCTTTTGATGTAAAAATCATTTTAATTTTTTCCTTTAGAATCATGGAGTCATAAAATTTGCATCTTTATAAGGCTGACTCATTGTGTCTACGATCTTCCAATTTTGCCCATGTCACGGGCAGTCGGACAGACTCATCCTTGTTTTTAAGGATGCATAATTTTCCGTCGTGAGTAATGGACCAGAATTTGCTTAGTCATGCTTCTACTGACAGGGTTTTTGATGGTTTACATCTTTTTGCTATGATAGAAGTTTCTGCAATAAACATGGTTGTGCATCTGTCTGTTGGTGTTTTGTTCGTTATTTCGTAGGATATAGACTGACTAGAAAGACTGCATAATCATAAGGTATTTGTATTTGCATTTGTTTAAGGATTTGTTTAATACTGTTTCCCCTAGTGGTTGTACAATTCTGCAATTCCACCAGCACTTATTAAGTATGCTAACTTGATGGCAAGTGGTTTCTGGATTTGCACCATGACTGGACCCAGTGAGAGGAGGACGGTAGGATGGTATGGTGCAGCTTCCCAGGATGGGAGCATTGGCCTTCCCAAACTTCAAACTCATGCCATCACCTTGCTTCCAATTTTTAGCGACTCTTAGGACACCTGTGAGTTTCCCTGTGGGTTTTTGTGCCTGTGAATCTTAAGGGGACAGAAAGCCTCATCTTTCTTCCACAGAGCAGTTGGTGGTTTTGAACTGCTGACCTTGTGGTTTGCTGCCCAACGTGTAACCACTACGCCATGAGGGTGCCTTACTCTGCTTATTATTCTGGCTGGGCTACTAACCCTTTGAGCAGTTCAAACCCAGCAGCCACTCAAAGGAAAAAGATGAGGTTGTCTCCTCCTGCAAAGACTGACAGCTCAGAAACCCTAGAGGGCAGTTCTACTCTGTTCTGTGGGGTCGCTATGAGTCAGCATTGAGTTTGGGGTTCTGGTTTTATCTATGCTACAGAGTGAATACATTCAGAAGAACACCTCTGGGAGCTCAAGTGAGCTGCAGTGGCTACAGGGAAATCCCCCTGACAGGAAGTCAGTGACCTGCCTATGCAAGTCTGTGGTGGGAAGTCCCACCTTCCACAAGCAGGGACTTGAGTGTGTTCGGCTAGGGCAGGTGAAAAACAGCTGCCTTTGGTGTCTGGAGGCTGCTCTAATGGTTGTGTCCTGTGCTATAGGTAGGATAAGCATTGGGCTGCTAAACACAAGGTCAACAGTTTAAACCCACTAGCTGCTCCTAGGGACCAAGATGAGGCTGTCTGCTCCTGTGATGATTTGTAGCCTCAGAAACCTCACACAGGGTCACTATGACTTGGACTTGATCTGATGGCACTGGGTTTTCTAAGAAGCCCTAATGGTGTAGGGCAGCGGTTCTCAACGGTCCTAATGCCTCCACCCTTTCGTATAGTTCCTCATGTTGTGGTGACCCTCCCAACCATAAAATTATTTTCGTTGCTACTTCATAACTGTAATTTTGCTACTGTTATGAATCGGGCGGCCCTTATGGAAATGGTTGTTCGACTCCCCCAAAGGGGTCACGGCCCACAGGTTGAGAACCACTGCTGTAGTGGGTTCCACGGTCAGCAGTATAATCCACCAGCTGCTCTGCGAGAGAAAGATGCGATATTCTGCTCATGTGGAGATTTCCTCCCTGGGAAACCCATAAGGGCAGTTCTACTGTCCAAAGGGTTACTATGAGTTAGAATTCACTCAAGAGGAGTTTGACACTTTCCCCAGCACATTCCAAATGCCCCAAAGCCTTTTGTTCGCACCTCTGAGATAGCAAGCACAGTTTCTGGGATGGGAAACAAGGGGTCCATGCAGGTGAGGACCCTGTGCCCTGGGGGTGGGGGCCGGGATCTCAGAGCAGGTCACACCTCAAGAGACAGAGAAGAGGAGTGGCAGACGGCAGTGACCCTGGAGGCAGAACGTGATGGAGGAAGCCAGGGCAGAAAAGGAATGAGGGACAGTTCTGGGATGCATGGAGGCTCCTGGGACTGGGAAGAATGACCACAGGGAGGCCAAGGCAACCCAGGTCCCCTCAGCCCCTGCCTCTACTCTGCCAGGAAGCCTGTGTCCACTGCTACCCCTGACAGCCTGGTATTCCTCAACCCTAATGAACACACATCCTTCCTTTCAGGGGCCATCTCGGGAGACGGGAACTGTTCCTGGAGAACTCCCCTCTAGAACTGGGCATGTAAATGGTGATGCCAGACAAGAGCACTGAAAGTGCCAGGGACAGCCGGCAGGGGGCACATCTGTCTTGAAAGAACCATCAGTCCATGAGGCTTCGTCTCATGGACTGGGGACCTGCTGTCAGGGGGACCAGACCCTGGAAAAGGACATCAGGCTTGGGCACGCAGAGGGGCAGCGGCAAAGAGGAGGGCACTTCTCCACAAGAGGAGTGACACAGTGGCTGCAACAGTGGGCTCCGGCATCACGATGGGGAGGATGTCGCAGGACGGGGAAGGGTCTACTTTTAGGGTAGAACCGACTCAACAACACCTCACGACTGACAACAATTCCAAGGAACCCCAGGAGTGAGTCCACCACCTTCATTTGGAGCCCAGCCCAGCCCAGCCCAGCCCCAGCCCCAGCCCCAGCCCCGCCCCAGCCCAGCCCCTCCCCAGCCCAGTCCAGCCCAGCCCAGGCCAAAGGAGGCTGGAACCTTGATCACCTCATCCTCGCCGACTGAGTCACATCCTGGTGGGCTCCTGGGGATGAGGGTGCCGCAGGCCATGACCCCTATCCTAGGTCAGCACTTACGCAATATCTGATGACGTTGGTACACTGTGCTGACGAGGAGGAGAGAGACGAGGGCCTGGAGCCGCCCACAGCTCACCTCACATGAGGGGCAGGGCAGGATCAATCCTGACCCATCATGACCCTCTAGGGCAGAGTAGAAGAGCCCAGGGAATTTCCCAGGCTGTCAGTCTTTACCGGCTGACAGCTTCATCATTCTCCCACAGAGCAGCTAGGGGTTCCACAATTCATCTAGTGCTTACAGCTACGTGTTTCAGCCACTAGGGCTCCCATCTGGACAGTGAATAACTAAAATTCTACTACGATTGGGTCCATTCTAATGCCCACTGACCCTAAGGGACAGAGACTGCTCCCGTAGGACTTCCGAGGCGTCAATCTTTATGGAAGTAAACACTCATCTCGTTCCCGCAAGGTGGTTAGTGGCTTCAAGCCACCAACCTGTCAGTGAGTTGCCCAATGCTTAACCCACAGTGCTACCATAGCACCCAATACCAACAAAACAAAACACCAGTCCTACTGGCATCCAGTTGATCCCAATGCCCATGGGCCCTACACGAGAGAACTGCCCTCTTGAGTTCCTGAGACTATAGCTCTTTACAGAAGCAGGCAGCCTCATCTTTCTCTCAAGATGTAGCTGATGGGTTCAAACTGCCGATCCTTCAGTTAGCTGCCCAATGCATAACCCACAGTACCACCAGGACTCCTTAGGGCAGGATCAGGGGCCTGAAAATCATTGCTCAGCTTTGGAAAAGAGCCCCCATGTCCTACATGCCAGCTCCGGCAGGCCTCTCAGAGACTTGCGAGTTGGGGGGATAACCACAATTGGACGCTGTCAGGCAGGGGCCACGCAGTAGCAAAGATGGGAGTTCGGTGGGCCACAGTTTCCACAGGGACCGGCTAGGCTCCCTTCATGCTCTATTTCAAACAGCAGCAGGAGGTGGGGCCTCACCTTGTATCCCACGGTGGGGGTGTGGGGGTGTGGGGGTGGTGGGGTGTGTGTGTGTGGGGTGGGGGTGTATCCCATTAAGAGCTTAAGATGCACTTAAAGAGCTGCCTGAGGCCCCTCCCAGGGGCAGGAGGCAGAGCTGGCTATGGCACAGCAACTCCACAACCACAGGCCCGAGGGTCCTGCACCCAGTCCTGGGCTCAGAGGCTGCCCTCCCGCCTCTCCCCCCACACCCCCTTCTCCAGGTCACCCCTCAGGGATACCTTTAACTCTGGAGCATTAGTTGCTTTTGTGTGCTTATTCCCTATTTTGACTGCGACTGAGAGCCAGCCAAACGGTTTCCCTGGGCAGCCTCTTGGTGACGTTTGGCTGGGTTCCAGGCTCTTTCACTTTCAATTTGAGACTGGTGAGGGCAGCAGTCATTGAAGAGACTCTCACAAGGACTTCTGCAGAGCCAGGGTGGCAAGGCTGGGCCCGTCCCCTGCCATGCCTCCCGACCCATCTGAACCTCACGGCCACCATGGTCCCTCCACTGCCTTTCTCTCCACTGACTCTTCCAACCAGAGACTCTGCTCATGGATGTTCCTAATCCTTGTCAAAAAAGAAAAAGATTGCTTACTGGAAAGAAATCAAAATCAAACTCTGCCATTGAGTTGATGCTGACTCACGGTGACCTCACAAGGACAGGGTGGAACCGCCCGTGGTTTCACATGCAATTAGCAGCCCAACTCATGAAAGACTGCACCACGAGGGCAGGTCTCAGATGCACCCAGTCCAGCGTAACGACTGGAGGGCCTCTTCCCTCGGCTCCATGAAGAGCCCCACGGTCTCCACCACAGGGCTGCCTGGTGCTCTCAGGAAGACTGGCCCGACCTCAGGTGTCACAGGAGGCTGAGGGGGAACAAGCAGCGTCTCCTTCCAGCTGAGCCCTGTCTTGACCCAGGGCCCAGTCTCCTCTCACTCAGCTCCAGCATCGTGCACTGAGGTCTCTGGCTAGAGGAGGAGCCCAATAGCTACAAGCTAGCTCCCCCACAAGGGGGCCCAGAGGGCCTCACACGACCAGGGCCCTGATGGGTCCCCAGGGCACTGAAGGCTATGAAGGAGCACCTGGGAAAAGCCCCTCCCCTCTAGTCAGTCTCCTCCTGGGCAATGCCCTGTGACCAGGTCCCAAGGCTGGAGGAGCTGATGCGTCCCTCCATAGACGTGCCCCCTCAGCACCCCATTTTCCCCCTGCCCCCCTTGTAAGCTGAGTGCCAGATCCCACCCTCAGCTCCAAGGCTTCCAAGGCCCACAGATGGTTCTCAATCCAGGAGGCTGTCGATTGATGTCTGCTCTCACTCAGTTGTTTTAAGGAGTCCCTGGTGTCTCAGTGGGTTAGGCATTGGGCTGTTAGCCACAAGGTCAGTGGCTCAAACCCACCAGCTGTTCTAAGGGAGAAAGACGAGACTGCCTGCCCCTATAAAGATTTACAATCTTAGAAACCCACAGGGGCAATTCTACTCCATCTTACAGAGTTGGTTTGACTTAGAATGGACTCAACAACAGGGGGTTAATAGCTACCCTTAAGGTGCCCTCAAGAGAGACCAGTCCCTTGAGAAGGACCTCAGTGGGGCGGCAGTGAAAGAGAGGACGGCCCTCAAGGAGATGGGCTGACACGTGGCTGCGACCACAGGCCCACACACAACTGTGAGGATGCAGCAGGACCAGGCAGTGTTTCCTTCTTTGTACACAGGGGCGCTATGAGTTGGAACTGACGTGATGGCACCTAACAACCACAAGGAATCCTGTGGGTACTCCTCAGGTGCTGCTCAAGAGAAAGACACTGTTGTGTGCTCCTGGAAAGGTTGACAGTCTCAGAAACCTTTGTAGTCCATCCTATAGGCTCACCCTGAGTCAGAATCGACTCCATAGCAATGGGTCTGCTTTGTGTTTTTTCATTTAATTTTAATAAAGTTTTATTGAGACATAATCCAAATGATATCCTTCAATAGTGCACTCATATCAAGAAGAGTTGTATAATCATCACCACAATCAATTGTAGAATATTTTCTTCTGCTTTGTACTCTTTGTTATTAGCTCCCTATTTCCCCCTGCCTCCCATGCCGTGTTTTAAGAATACTAATTTGGCTTAATAACATAGTTCCAGAATGCTTCATTGTGCTCATGTGGACTATGTACACAGACCAAGAAGCAGTCCTTACACCAGAATAAAGGAATGCTGCATGGTTTAAAACCAGGAAACATGTGGGGCAAGGTTGTATCCTTTTACCAGACTCCCTCCCTCCGTATGCTGAGGAAATAATCTGAGACCCTTGGCTCCACCAAGAAGAACCAGACAGTAGGACCGAAGCAGTGGTTCTCAACCCGTGGGTCGTGATCCCTTTGAGGGTCGAATGAACCTTTCACAGGGGTTGCCCGACTGATAACAGTAGCAAAATTACAGTTATGAAGTAGCAACGAAAATAATGTTATGGTTGATGGGTCACCACATGAGGAACTGTATTAAGGGTCGTGACATGAGGAAGGTTGAGAACCACTGGACTAGGTGGCTCTGAGATCTTCAGAAGTTACAACCCTGCTCACTAAAAGTAAAGAGGCCTTGGAGCGCTCACTGATGAAAATTGAAGGCTTCAATATGAATTACACAGAAAGTCAAGTCCTCACAACTGGGCCCATAGGCAACATCAGGACCGACAGCTAAATTACTGATGTTGCCAAGGGTTTCATTTTACTTGGATCCACAGTAGGTGCCTGTGGAAGCAGCAGTGAACAACTCAAAGGACACACTGCAGTAAGCAAGTCTGCTGCAAAATACCTCCACGGCGTGTTAAAAAGCAAGGGTGTCACCTTGAGGGCTAAGGTGTGCCTGACCCAAGCCATGGTCTTTTCAGTCACTCCACACATATGTGGAAGCTGGGCAGGGAAACAGGCAGACAGAAGAAGGAATTATGGTGCTGGTGACGAATATTTAATGCAAACACATTTTGGAAGTGCAAGAACAAGTACAGCCAGAATGCTCCTTAAAACGGAGGATGGCGAGGCTTCATCTCATGGACTTTAGACACGCAGAGAGCCCATCCTGGAGAAGGACGTCAAGCTGACTGGAAAGCAGAGGGTCCGGGAAATCGAGGATGTGGTTGCAGCCTTCAAGTGGGCGTAAGCCTAACAACAATAGGGGGGTTGGCAGCACAGGGCCAGGCAAGAGTCGCGTTCTACATGGAGCCACTGTAGGAGAGTGCGTCGGGCAGCACCTTCCCTGCCGAGGAAGGACTGCGCTTTCACTCACATAAAGAGCTGCAGCCTCAGAAGCTCACAGGGGCAGTTCTCCTGTGAGCACGACTCGTGGCACTGAGTTTCATCAACAACCTATATCCGAAAAGTCACGTTGATCTTTTCGTTTCGCTGTCGTGGGTTGGCATTGAATCAATTTTCAACTCACAGAGACCCAAGGGGATGGAGTCGAAACGCCCCTCCGCGTTTCCGAGGCTGTAATCTTTACAGACCCAGCTTTCTCCCTAGGAGCCCTGGGTGGGATCCAACTACCCATCTTGCTGTTAACAACGGAGTACTCAACCGCCAGAGCCGTTTTCAGATGGAGGGCAATCCATTAGGTCCCAGAGCCGGCTCCCCCCACTGCCCGTGCCCCCAGCCGCTCGCTCCGCGTCCCCGGGGCGCCCCCTGCACCTGTTCGTGGCGCGCCAGCAGCGCGGGCGAGGCGCACAGACGCAGCACCAACAGGCTGCGCACCAGCTCCCAGGTACGACGGCTGCGGTACGCCTCCTGCGGGTTGCTGAAGTCCACGGCTGGGAACGGCCGCCGCGGGCTCTCCGCCGCCTCGCCTCCTGCCACCGCCCGCGGGGTGTCGGCCGGGCGATCGCGGGCCGCGGAGGCCGTGGACAGCCGGACGACGCGCGGGGCGCCGGCGCGCAACAGGGAGCTGACTGGTCTCAGAGCCATGGCGCGGGGACCGCGCGCGCGCCCCTGAGCCGCTTAAGTAGGCATCACGCCCTGGCCCCGCCCCTCCCAGCGCCCGGGGCCCGGCCGCGCCCCCGCCCCGCCCACCATTTACCCCGCCTCCGGCCACGCTCGGAAGGTCAGCGTCCCGCCTCAAGCCCCGCCCACCAGGCCGGCCTTCCTGACCCCAGGCCACCTCCGTAGTGAAACCTAGTCCTCTAGGCTGCCAGATCCCCACCTGTCGTCCCCGTCGCAGACCTAGCGCCTCGAAGACGGGCTCGCGCCCACGTGCGCAGCTTCTCCTGGGCTTTCCAGGCTCTGGAACTGGCCGGGTGGGCCCGGAGCACGCTTGTTGGTGCCACCGCATACCTGGCACAACTGGGCCCCTCCCGCGTGGTCGCACGCACGGGCTCATAGGCTGCCTCACGTCTTCTCTCACTTAAAAGGACTTTGAGGAGTTTTGCTGTACCCAGGCCTGAGTCAGGAGCGTGAGAAGGAGTAACTTGCTTGACCCCCTCGCTTCTCTCCCACTGGAGCCCCGTCCCCAGACTCCCCTTGCCACCTCCCCCCACCATCACCTCCACCCACTCCCTCCCCCGCGCAGCCCCCTGGCTTCAACCTCCGCTGCCACCCTACTGCCTCGTCAACTCCCAGCATCTGGTCCTATTGGCCTTGGCCACCTCCCTGTCTTCCCCCTACGAACCTTTCGCCACTCTCCACCTCTGCTTTGAAGGCTTTCCCTCCACGTGGTGTGCGACAAACGCGCCCTTGGCTGCAAATGTGGCGCCTCTGCCCCTTCCCATCCAGCGCTCTCGCCCCCTCTCTCCACCACTTGTACCCCACATATGCTGAGCAAGGTGGGCCCCTCGGTGGGACCCCCCTCCCCCCACCTTACTTACCGTGCTTTCTGTGTATCACCGGTGCATTTGATTGGGACATCTTGACTGTCACCGCCGTCCTTGGCGTTGTGGACTGTCCGCTCGTAGCTCTGACCACTAGATGTCAGTAGCATCCCGGCAACAAGCTGTAGGGAGGCAGACTTCAGCTAGCTACTCTGGAGGACGGATTACCACTGCTCCCTAGGGCAGCGGTTCTCAACCTGTGGGTCGCGACCCCTTTTGGTGTCGAACGACCCTTTCACAGGGGTCGCCTAAGACCATCGGAAAACTTAGGAACCGAGACACCACTCCTCTAGTCTCCAGGCGTTCTGCCCACACGCAGATAAGTCAACATAGGAGTACCTACTGTTTGTTATCCATGCTACACTATGATTCAAGACAAAGCTTCATTTATTTGTAATTAGAAATAAATATTTCATCATATATAATTACATATTGTTTTTGCAATGAGAATACATCCTGCATATCAGATATTTACATAATGATTCATAACAGTATCAAAATTACAGTTATGAAGTAGCAATGAAAATAATTGTATGGTTGGGGGTCACCAAACACGAGGAACTGTATTAAAGCTTCGAGGCCTTAGGAAGGTTGAGAACCACTGCCCTAGGTTCCCAAGACTGTAAATCTTTACAGGAAGAGTCAGTCTCATCTTTCTCCCTCAGAGCAGCTGGTGGATTTGAACCACTGACCCTGTGTTTAGTAGCCAGCAGATTATCCCCCTAGGCCTTCAGAGTTCCTTAATGCCCCCAGCCTTGGGACTCACAGTGACCACCAGATTCTCAGGGACAAGACTCTCCTTGGGGAGGGGTCTCCCCATTGTCCTTTTGTCATAATCATCCCTCCTCCCTCTTCCTGAAAATACTCAAGGGACCCCAGCTGCTGCCTGGCCCACGGCTGCCACACTTTCCCTGCCTGGGCCCTCTTCTGAGCCTAGGTGGGTCCCTTTGGCGCTGGCCTCCCTCCTCTTCCTCCTTACTGTCAATATGCCTGGCAGATCCTCCCACTCCCAGGGCCTGGCAGCCCCCCTCTTTTTCACTTGTTGCTGGTGACTTTGAGGGTTTTTATCACATTGCCACTTCAACATGTTGGAGGAAAGACAGGATGAGTGACAGGATTCCGGGGTCCTGACCCCCACCCATCTCCACCCTGAGGAATCACTTGGCATATGCCAGGCACCATGTGGCAAGAGAAACTTCCCATTTAGGCAGATGCTCCCAGATAACCCTCCTGGCTTGAGAAGGCGGCCAGAGCAGACTTGACTTCTTCACAAGGTCATCCATAGTGTATTAAGATCCACACAGTCGAATGCTTTTGCATGGTCAAGGAAGCACAGGTGAGCATCTTTCTCATATTGTTAGCTTTAGCCAAGATTGACCTGACATCGGCATTGATATACCCTGATCCACATCCTCTTCTGAATCCGCCTTGAACCTCTGGCGGCTCCCTGCCAACGTACTGCTGCAACTGTTATTGGATGATCTCCAGCCGAATTATGCTTGCATGTAATATCAGGGATATTGTTCTATAATTTGAGCATCCTGCTGGGTCACCTTTCTTTGGAATGGGTACACATATGGATCTCTTCCAGTCAGTTGGCCAAGTACTTGTCTTCCAAATTTCTTGGCATACAAATGAGTGCTTCCAGTGCTTCATCAGCCTGTTGAAACATTTCCACTGGTATTCCTTAAATTCCTGGAGCCTTGGTTTTTTGGCTAATGCTTTCAGTGTAGCTTGAACTTCTTCCTTCAGCACCATTAGTTCTTGCTCATCTGCTACCTCTTAAGATGGTCCAGTGTCAGCTCATTCTTTTTGATACAGGAACTCTGCTCTTTCCACCGTGTTTGGAGGTTTCCACTGGCAGTAGGCTGACCCCAAAGCTGCCAGTTGAGTATACAAGTGAATCAAAGAACTGTACCTCCCAAACCAGCTATCTCCTAGCTGGTTCCAATTCAGACTAACCCTCTAAGATAGAGTAGAACTTCTCCTGTGAGTTTCCAAGGCTGTCAATCATTACCAGAGCAGGCACCCTCAGAATAGCTGGTGGGTTTGAACCACCAACTTTTCTAGTTAGCAGCCCAGCGCTTCACTCACTGCCAGCATTTAAGTTAGTAACCGAAGGCCATACGCATGACTGCCAGTGCCAAGTCCATTCCAATAACACATAGCGACCCTACAGGACAGTGCAACTTCTCCCTAGAGCTTCTGAGACAATGACTCTTTACGGACTGCCTCCCCTTTCTCTTGTGAAGCAGTTGGTAGATTTGAACCACAAACTTGTTTGTTGGCAGTCCCGTGCTTAATCTGAGAAAATAATTCTGTGCCATGCTGGAAACTCTCAGTAGGCAGCCCGCAGTGATGTGGCTGCTTTCCTGTGTTCCCTCCAAAAGCAAGACAATCTAAGGGACCCTCCTCCCCCATTGGCTGGGTCATCCAGGATGTGGGCTGGAGCAGAGCTGGGCAGTCAGGAGACTACAGTGGAGCCCAGCACATGCAATCTGAGCTAGCTCAGCTATGGAAGGATCAGAGGCATCAGCCAGGCTGAGTCACCTGGCAATTAAGCCAATCAGCAGGACAAAGGGTTACTCATAGAGTGGCCAGGGAGAGATGCCCCCCAAACTTTCTGATACATGCAGACCCCTGTCCATCATGCTGCTGTTCTGAGAGGAGGCCCAGGGTGGGGGGACCAGTGTTAAGCACTTGACCATTCCCTGAGATGTCACAGATGAAAGGTCTGACGATCGTCTCCTTGGCCTGGGGCACAGTTGTCTGCATACCTGGGGTGGCCACAAGTCAGAATTGACTTGCTGTCTCTCACCCACAAAAGCAATGCTTCCTTGACAATGACCCTCGTTGGGATTCCTTGTTGCCATCGCTCCTTTTGCCTGCCAGGTACCAAAACTCACTGGATTTGTTGTTGCTAACATTTTGTTGTGAAGGAAGTGAAAGTGTACGGAGCAGATCCATTTTCAACCCCACAACCCAGACATGTTTTGGTTCATGTCACTCATAGCCATCCGCACACCGGACCACATCTCCCTGCCTCATCTGTTTCCATTCATCTTTCTTCCTCACTGCCTCTTGTCATCTATCCGAGCGGTTTCCCTGGGCAATGCTTGCTGCACTTCAGTCCTCAGCTGGTGGGCAGTTCTAACGAATGGCTGGTCACCTTATGAATATTTGTCTGTCCTCCAGCTCCAAGCATGCACGGCATGGGAACCCTGTCAAAGTTACTTGTAAATCCTGAAAGAGGAGTTAGGATGCGTGGCCTCCTGCATTTTGAGGTGTGCTTGCTATGCGTTTTCATGGTTGGGGTGACTTGCACTTGGAGAAGCAGATCGCTGTTGTCTGATACCACGTCCGGGTGGCTGCTCTTGGACTTCACCCAACAAGTGCCAATCTTGGTTCTCCGTCCCCCTCCACCCCTACACATAAATTCCCTCCCTGGCACATTCTCTTGTTATCCACAGATTCTATTCAAGCTTTATTTAGCTGGGTCCTTGTATTCTCCACACACACACACCCCCGCCCCCACCGGGGCTAACAAAAATACAATGGTTATTTCCAGAGCCAAGATTGTCTATTAGATTCCAGAATCCGCTACTATGTGTACATGGACACAATCACGCTTTGCTACACCAACCACTTTATATAATTACTTTCCATCCCTGGATAAGAAAAGCTATTTTGATGTTTTCCACCACCCCTACCCCCCAAGATTCTTTCTTTATAAAAGCAAGGTGTCATTTATATACTAACACATCATGTGTGCTCCACAGTCTTCCCATCTGGGGACTATGATTCAAAACCAAAACAAAGCACACTGCCATCAAGTGGATTCTGACTCACAGCAACCCTACAGGGCAGGGCAGAACTGCCCCTGTGGGTTTCCGAGACTGTCACTCTTTACGGGAGTGGAAAGCCTCGTCTTTCT